TAAAAATCTTAGCCTTGTTTTGTGACAAAGGCCCTATTCCTTTTCTAATTCTGGATTTTCTGCTTATCGGATCTAGAATTAATTTGTCACATTCATACTCAAATGACTTCTTTGTGGTGTTTTAGGCCAGGCTATGCGGATCAGTACCAGAGCTACCAGTCTGCAGCACTGAGGGAAGAATACACTTACAGAAGGTACTACTATCAGTGGCTGCAGGAAGAAAGAGGTACGAATAGTCTCCGGGAAGCCTCCTGGATTTGGGGACGGTGCAGCCGGTCTGACAGGCAGGGCAGGGGCTGAAGGAGTCGCGGTCAGGGCCTCGCCTCGGGCACCCTTCCCTGGCCAGATGAGCTGCAGCAGAGACTCTGCTCCTAGATGTCTTGAGGAGAAGGCACAGAAAGAAAGGAGTTGTTTCCCTTTGGGTGTGTAGAGGATGGTGCTGAAACTATCATTGGCATGTGGGTGGTGTGCACTTTGTCCACATTTTTCTCGAATTCCTTCTTGTAGCCAAGATTATAGTCTCTGACCAAGTAACAGTGAAGTCAGTTCTTAAGGGCAGTGAGTGTGTGCGGTGTCTGACCGTCACGTCCCCTGAGGGTGGCAGACACACGGCACGTGCGTTTCAGGCCCTCTGCTAATCGGTGTAGGGCGTCTATGCTAACGGCAGCTTCGACCTGCCGGCAGAGAGGGCTCTGTTCCAACATTGAACACACACACGCACACACGCAGATGCAGACACAAACGCGCACACACACGCACACACACATGCACACATGCACGCACACACGCACACACATGCACACTCCCAGACGCACACACAAACGCGCACACACACGCACGCACACACGCACACACACATGCACGCAGATGCACACACAAACGCGCACACACATGCACACACACATGCACACACGCACACACACATGCCCGCAAGCAGATCCTCACCACGGGACGGTTGTGCAGCGCCATGCTAATTGGTTCAGAGAGGACCAAGGGACATCTCATGAACTTTCGTAGCTCGCGCCTATCGATTTTATTCAATTTGGCAAATACGTTCTCAGACCTACCACACTCCAGTAGTAACAGGGTCACAGCCCGCTGGTGTCTTTCTGAAAGAGCTTGCAGAGTCAGAAAGTGACACGTCTTTACTTTGTTTTCTCTGAGGGTGCAGTGCCGAGGCAAGGCAGCCCTTATGTCTGGTATGAAGGTTACCAAGATCAGAAGTACCTCGATGAACACCGTCACGAAAGCCAGAATCGTCCGTTTGGAACGAATAATGAGACCCAGTTCCAGTGAGTGTGAAAGCAGAGGCCCGTTTGGCGCGATTCGGTCAAACTCAGACTGCGATGGGCGAACCTCACGGCATCTGGTGCTGGTCCCTCTGCCCGTCTGCCTCTGTTCTAGCCACAGGGCGGGCCTGGGCGGCTGGGGACAGGGACCCTGGGAGGGGAGATTCTCGTCTCTGCGAGGCTGTTTCCGACCCGGCCAGTCCCAGTCCTGCGAGGTCACTTGAGATCTATCCTAAAGGAGGCTCTTTCGTCTCTCTGGCCTCGGAACAAACGTAGCCCGGCAGACGTTCTCGTGATTGGGCCCTGCCTCGGGCTGAGGTCCTTCTCCTCAGCCCGCTCCTGGCCCTGAGAACGGGGCATCCCTCCAGGGTGCGGCGGAGCGTCTGTCCCATGCCCTTGGCCCTGCGGTTCCCCAGCCCAGCTGCTCGCACTTGGCCGATCCAGGCGTCCGGCTGCAGAGACCAGCCCTGCTCCGCGGCGCTGCGGCCACTCCCAGCCACGCGCTGCGAGCCCGCGCACTCCTGCTCTTCTGGGATCAGTGGCTCGAGGTGGCGAGCGGGAGGACGATGCTTTTCCCTGGGACACCCGGGCCATGGGGACACCTGCCGCACTTCAGCGCGGAACAGCCTGTGGCAGGGGGCTCCTGAGCCTCGCGGGCTTGCCCGGACCCTTCTCACCGCCCCGTCCTTTCGCTGCAGCTCTGCCGGTCGGAACCCTCACGGCGGCAGCCCCGCTTCCAGCTCCGGACAGGAGGGGGCCGGGGAGCTGCTTCCAGACAGTCTGCGCACGGGGGCCCGGGAGAACAAGGTAACCTGAAGTGGCGTGGGCGCTGGGGCTGTGCCCGCACCGCTGGCAGCAGTGGCAGGGCAGGGCCTTGGCGGTGGGGCCTCGGCCGCCAGCCGTCTGCAGGAGCCCGCTCCTCCCTGCCCGGCAAAGCCTCCGCTCGCACCTCTGCCTTCCCTGCCTCCTGGCTTCGGTTTTACAGGGCCGAGGCCCTGATCTGGCTCTGTTGCATTTTTGGCAAACTGGCAGTGTCAGGAAATGTGACCCAAGTCATCCAAGGTGCCGGGAAAGAGGAGAGGCTGCCGCCAGGTGTTATGTGTTATGGACCCCAGGGGGTCAGCAATGGTTTGCCTGGGAAGTGGAAAGTTACTGGAATCTTTTAATTCAAGTTTGAAAAGCAGGGCTGGAAACCTTTCCTGACTTTTCCGTCTCTGTCCCCTAAAATTTTACTGTATCAGCTGGGCCACAACATGGAACTCTTAATTTTTTAAAATA